ATGTCAATTCTGCTAGCTGTGTACACAACGTATACATAAATATGGGAAAATTCAGTTTTCATGGCGCGTAGCACCGGAAATTTTTTCGATACGCGGCAACCCCTCGTCTGATTTTTTATGTTTTTGGTATCGAAAGATGCGCAAAGCTCAAGGCTAAAAAGTCATAACAGCTCGGGTTGCGAAAAAAAAACATTTCAAGGCTTTCGCGGAAAAAGTTGAGGGGGGGGGGGGTGGCGCCCTGGCCCTTTTAGGGTTAAGGTCTTTTTAAAAATGATTCCTTGATCTAAAGATAGTCATTGGTTTGAGGTGGTTTCACAATAGATGTCCTTGATTTCTGACAGTCGATAAGTGTGTGTGTGTTCTAGCTTTATGGAGAAGGCTAGGGGCTGATCTTGTATTAGGGGATATTATTTACACCCACAACCTGCATTGATGTTCATGAAGTACAGGTGTATGTATTGTACATCACATGTATAGAAGAAGAAATCATAAGCCAAAATATTATTGTAATAGGAGTGTCTGGATCACAAAATAACATTGGTCATGCACTTTGGTGGCTGGGAAAACAATTGTTCCAAACTACAGGTACATAGCTCCATCCATTGTTGTCTCTGTACGAGTGGAAATCCGCACTTAGCAATGTAAATGGTTACAGTTCAAAGGTTGTGTGTGGTCATCATGTGGGGTGATAGTGTGCACTTTTTGTAAAGGAGATCAATTTGTTTTCAACAAATTCACAAATCACGTGGTTGAACAATGGCTATTGGAAGGTGAAAAAAGGCTACAATCTGTTTTTCCTTTTGTGTGCCAAGTAATAGGGTACGGTACACTACATGTAGTTATTGCAGTACATGTACAATGTACAAGAGTTCATGAGAGCACAAAATCTATTTTTGGCTACCGAACTTTTTCATTGTGGTCTCATGAAAAATCTCATAATTTGCATTGAATTTATTCTGTACGTTTTACACAATGCTGAATCACTTCTACAGGACATGTACAAAACACTTGATTTCAAAGTTTAAAGCATGCACAAAGCCTCTCCATGTGGTTGAACAATTCCTACAATTTTCTAACTGGCCCAGAGCCACATGAAAGACAATCAATTTTGAAACACCAACAAGTGATATATGTCTGCTTTAAAATTTAAATTTGTAAACATTTTAATAGCAAATGTTTTAAGAACCGTTTAAACGTTTTAACGTTTAGCCATTTCACGAAGGCTGATGCCTGCCCATTATGTCTGAAGACCGGCGTGATTGACATGATGAATTTACAACAATTGACATTATTTATAGCAGGTAGTCACTGAAAAAGTAAAAACTTAACTACTGATATATACCCCAAATCTTATCAAGTACTGCGGCGCTACGACTAATGTTTTGTAAATTCAGGGATGACATTGTCCATTAAAATAAAATCTGAAAAATGGATGAAACGTCTGAAAGATGCAAACGTCTGAAAGTTTTGACCAATTGTGGCAATAAAAAGTTTGAGGTTGGCAATTTTGCCAATAAAAATCCAGGTCTAGGTACCGTAGGTCGGGTTACCATATCCACACAATATTTTTTTATTAATTAATGCCCAATGTACCAGTACTTCAGGCAAATGGGAATGCGAATTGAACTTGATGTCATGAAACTTTCACTGCAAACTTGGCCCAGAGTTCAAACATTTTCAGCTTTGCAAATTTTAGCAAATTTGCAGCATGAAAACTTGTTGTGACACCACAAATTCATGTTTACATTCATTTTCGCGCTGAGTATGAAACCTTTAAGCAGTTTTGATACTCATTTTTAATGCCATATTATGACCAACTCCTTTTTCAAAAAAAATTATTTGTACTTGTACAATATAGGCCTACCAATACGCTATTTAGCAGTATGCCGTTTCTGTTTCTGTAAGATGCTGTACAGCCAGTGAGGGGCAGTGAAACCTTGTCAACCATTTAATAGCTTCAGAAATATGCAAACTCTAATGCTCATTGGAAATTTGCCAATTATAGAAGGGCATGAAGGGGGGGGGGGGGGGGGGGGGGTACACACACTATAAATATGGAGGCGGGAGCCAGGAACCAGTGCAACAGAGCACGACAATCCCAATAAAAGCCTTTTAACACTAGACAAATCTCGGGGTACCGGTAGACGCAGGATTGACACAGGGTTAAAAACATGCAGCGTTTCACACTTGAAGTTTTCAACCCTGCGTCAATCCTGAGATTGATTTCGCCCTGGGTTAAACTCAACCCTGCCCCAGACCAGGGTTGGGATTTTCAACCCGAGTTAATACTCTCGCATACTACATGTAGGTTCAAAACAGTAGGAATATAACCAAGTGAAATGAGCTCGATTTGTATGAAGTAAGTGTGAAACGATATTGGGTTGAACGCGGGCTTGAACACTACAAAAAAGTTAACCCGGGGCGGCACTGGGCTTACCCAGGGTCGAGTTCCACCCGGGTTGAGAGGATCTACGTGATGTGAAAAGGCATTAAAACCCTAACTCCCTAGGGGGTGTGCAAAATCATATTAAAATTGGAGGATTCAGGACTGTTAGGGAAGGGACTCTGACACAATGCTTGGAGCACAGTAGGCCTACAATGCATGCTGTTTTCTTTTTTTGGGGGGGGGGGGGGTGTTAGGCCTAATTGTGCATTATGTTTAAAAAGTGTAATCCCATGTTTGTCAGAAGACAGCTGCATAGTGTTTGGTGAGTCTTACCAATTCCCGCCTACACACACTTGTGTTACAGCTTAGTTACAGGGGTGACACTTTTTAAAGGAAACATGTAAAAAAAAATCCACTCCAGTTCTGTGACACAGATTTCGCCCTAGCTATTATTATTATCAATAAGCTTTAGAGCCAGCGAGCGGTACATGAAGTCAACCATGAATGACAGATTAGAGCAAAACATGACATGATTTTCGTATTTACTGGCTAAGTACTTTAAGTGTGGACTCAATTCAACGCATGATTGAGGCAGGATGCAAGGTTGTCTCCTGATAACAGCCCCTGGGGTCCTGTGAGTCAGCTGATCATATTAGGTAAATAAAATCACTGATATTACGAGAGATTGCTCAATGCATCTGGGCCTGATTTCATAGCCTGGCTATGCACACATTTTGCAAGGGAACTTCAAGGATTCCTTTAGGTACCGGTACTGGAAGCAGGAAAAAGTGCAGTAAATGTACATGTACCTGGGTATGTACCAGGGCATACTAAAACTACGTAAACTTATGGATATCAAACTGAAGTACAAATGGAAAGACTCCCATATCTGGCCATCACTTGTCACCCTGTGCACAAACACTATGACTATGAGACTGGTCTGACATTATTTTTTTAAGTGTTTTCTCACTAAATACTTTAATATTGTCCCTACTTATTTTGACTTTTTAGGCCCCAATTTACCTCCAAGAATTAATCAACAAATATCAACCACCAAGACCCTCCGCTCTAGTTCCAAAGATCTTCTTACTCCTTATCCAGTTACCACCAAATCATAATCAACGTGCCTTTCAATTCACTGCTCCCAAACTATGGAATGATTTTCCTAACCATATCAAAACCTGTCCCACCTGTCCCAAAACTCACCTGTTCAGTTGCACAAGCGCATAGAGACTTAATTGTATTATGCGCTATATAAGAACTGTTTATTATTATTATTATTATTATTATTATTATTATATCACTTTCTGATGGCTGATGCTGTGATACTGATAGGTCAGTAGTCACTTAAGGAAAAAAGGAAGTGATGGCCAGATATGGAAATCTTTCTGTGCAAACTTAGCAACGAGTGACATTAACCCCAACTCCCTAGGCCTTTTTGCTAGGATGTAGCCTCAATCCTGCAAAATCCTCCAATTGGCCTCATGGAAAAATAGCATATAGCCTCAATCCTGCAAATTCCTCCATTATTTCTTGAATATGGTCCGTGGAGGGGTGACCACTGCCTGAATCCTGCAAAATCATGCGGCAGTGACTGTCAATATATTGAGGCTTGGCCAGTGACATCCTGGAGCAGTACGGATGTTTTCAAGCATTATCCAGGCCTATATTTATGCATGGCTGAGCATAAACAACACAAGGTCCGGCCCAAGACCTTGACAAAGTGCATCCTACGAAATCAGTAACGCACTTTTGCCATGTAGCCTCAATCCTCCAAATTCCTCCACATTGGCAAAGACGATTTTGAAGGATTCAGGGCGGTTAGGGTTAAACAACTGAAATTACATATTTTTTAATGCATCCATTAAATTTAGGCCAAGTAAAAATATTTAAAACCAGTTTCTTGTCCCCGCCTGCTTCCTTTTTTCCCACCAGCATCCTTTTTTTAAATTTTAAATTCATACATTTGCAAAATATTTTGTAATTGTATTGTTAATATAATATATTTCATTAGGCCTATGTCTTTTTTTTTCCCCCAAAAAATGTATGTATTACGGTTTCTTTGGACACAATATATTCAGCTCTTACATGGGTCAAGAAAAAAGAATCCATCAACGATCTTGGAATACCTGTTGAGGCTCTTTAATATTAAAAAAAAATCTTGGCAAGAAACTATTTATTACAATGTAAAACATTAAGTTTTCGTTCTGTACCAATTCAAATACTACTACTAGTGGATATTTGGCCAGCACCAGCTTTCTTTTACAAGTAAGCCAGCAGATCGCACAGTGCCCTCTTTAACGTGTAGGCCTATATCAAGTAGGCCTAGGCCTACATTATAAAGTACCATCATTGTTAAGGAGCACGTTTTCACTTCTAATTTTCGGCAATCCATTTGCTATATATGGAAATAAATGTGAGTTTGATTGAGTCGATAGACCAAGATTAAGAGGGATTAATTGGGGGGGGGGGGGCACACTGGCAATGAGGGAAAATCAGAGAATGGATGAAATTGAGGACAGACCAAGAGGGATTTAATAAGACTTAAGAGGACATTAATCATGTTAATTAGATTTATTTGAAATTTGTTTATTTATTTGTTTAGAAGTCTTACCTTCTTCATTTTCCACAGTCACTCTTCTCAAAATGAGAAGTATCGCCAACCTCCATTTCTGAGCAATTTCCAAATTTTGTTCGTGAGTATCGTACTTGTTCACTCGGAAAATAACGTCCCGTTTTCTTCTGAAACCGCCACTGGCGGCCGGCTTGTTATACGGGTAGGAATGAAGGCAAAGGAACGCGGCAGCCGTGTCGTTCGGGGGTTTCTTGGTGGTCAGACTAGTGAGGGAAAGCCTGGAATTGTTGGATGCGTAGGTGCTCCTAGCCCGACCGCACTCACATCCGATGACATCGGCCAGGCGCACCGTGTCTGCCTTGGGAGTGACGCGGCCATTTTGCCCATCACTGGCCCTGCGTTTCTCAACCACGACTCGGTCGTTGTACAGCGTTACCCGCACCGCTGCGCATTTGCCTGGGAACAAGGTGAAGTCGTCTCGTAGCAAATGCTGCTCTTCCCGGGAACAATTCAGTTCTTCAGTACTAGTCATGCTTTCTCTCTGTACTGTGACTGATACAGTCAACTATCTCTTCACATAAAAGTGACAAAATTCGGAACTTACGTTCCTTTTTTGGATTCCGACTGCAGCGGATACTTGATCATTGAATATTCTGACTTTGTTGTGTTGACGTTAGTAGTACGTCACGTGTGATCCACCCGGCTTTCTCTCAGTACAAATTAGCAACGTGTAGTTCGAGTAAGGAGGGGCGCTTCTTCTCAAATGAAGTTTAAAATCCTAAACGGGAAAAACTTTTTAAAACCAAACAAATAGAGAGTAATTAACAAAACAAAAATTGCCAGCAACACATACCAATTTTGCTGTCAAGGTTTAGTAGAAAGCAGGTAAAAAGTATCATCTACACGTAAAAGTTATAGCGTAATTCAACACCTGAGGGCGGTATCGTAAAATCTGTGAATTTTTGTTCACCTGAGTTCATGCATGTTATGGTCGTTTATGGCGGTCATCGTTTTCAATTATTGTAACCGCTCAAGGCCGACCAACATTACAAGCAAACAATTACTTTTTTTTGTTCATTCGCTCGCTTTGGGTCACTTTCTCCTTCAAACGTCAGCAAAATAACAATTGGTGCTGATTTTTCAAGCACAACCTTCGACGGTTTTCAGGGTCACTCGTGACGTATGTCGTGTGGCGCAATAGAAATTTGTATTTAATTCAGAGCTCATTTCAGAACGTTACGTGACAGAGCAATGCCGGAACGTTTAAAAAAGAAGAAGGTGCTTTGCACCCTCAAGTTTTTACTATTTAATTGCTAATATTTTACTTAAGCATTAGATAAGTTGCGACCTTGCATGTTTGCACAACAATAATCAGTCCAATCTTACGTGGAGGTGGTTCAATATGTGAAGTTTTCAATTATCAACTTTCCAACCCCAATACAATTCCAATAATCTTTAGCGCGAAGCACATAACAGAAACAATACTTCTGGTAAGAAAGAGTGAAGAGTGTCGCTTTTACATTATTTCGCGGATAACTTAAGGCACTGTTCGTTTGAAGGAGAAATCTATCGAATTGAACTAAAAAGAAACCAACCCTAACTGAATATAAGAATTGAGGTAATGATATTCTCACTGGGAATAATGATACCGAGCCTTTGTTCGTTGTGTCTTTTTTTTGCCCCTGAAAAAAAAACACACCCGGCACATAATTGCCATAAAATTAAAAACGTCAATAGATATATAGGCCTAACTCCAATTCGTAAAATACGCCCAACTTATATTTTTGTGACTGTCACAAAATGACTTTAAAATCTAGTGATGCATGTGTTTTGATAATGATAAAGGCCTGCACGTTAATTCAAACTAAATTTGGCAATAGACGATGTGACATGTGACAAGTCTTATGGATGTTGTGGTCACGTGATGCCAACTTTCAGCAACGGTTCTCTTCTGCACTGCTCTGCCAGGCTCTTGATATATGAATGGTTTATTGTTTGACATTTACAGGGCGAGTCCAAAAAAACCGTAACTCCAAAACGGCAAAGAAATATATTTCATATACAATACGTACCGTATGTAGTACCAAAATTATTATGACTTGGAAGCACATTTCAACTACTTTCAAGTGAGAAAATTATTTCAATTGCTCTATACACGTTAACATTTTATCAGTATTTAAACGAAGTAACCCTAAGATGTTTGTTCATGACGAGGTGTGGAGGAGATTTTCGGCTGACGGCAATCCACCGGAGTTAATCACCTTATTACACATTATTATAAAACCCAACTTGCCTGGTTTGGCCACATAGTGAGGATGGAAAACAACAGTGTTTCAAAACGCATCCTTCTAGAAACAACGACTGGGAAAATAGACGGGGTAGGCCAAGGGAGAGATGGGAAAATGACATCAAGGTTAACAGCGCCCTCTACCTGGCACACCGTAGAGCGCAAGACAGGAGTGGAGAGCGAAGTTCAGCGAACATTCGTGGAGCCAACGTCCTTCGGAACATGGTGCAGGATTACATTAGATTAGATTAGATTAACCCTAAGATCAGTTTCGTCCAAAAAAGTCATTTATTGTGTGTTCTGACTTTTTGGAACAACAAAGAAAATGACACTTGTTTCAACAACTTCTCTATTAACAACCCTGCTTTGGCTAACACTGGTACGGACGGGTCTTCAAAATGACTTTGTTTAATATTTGTAACTTTTAAAACTGAGGTTTATCGCTGGTGATGTTTGAAGACAATTGTAACTCTTGAAATCGCATTTTGTGGACAAAACAGATTTTAGGGTAATTCGTTTAAATGGTGATATAATTTTAACGGATTGAGCAATTGAAGTATTTTTTTTTCATCTAAAAGTTCATTATTAAATTGGCTTACCAGTCATAATTTTTTTTGGTGCCCTTGCAGAATAGTGAAACAATCAAAATGTCAATTCAGCAAATCCTTTGCAAAGTGAATGTGGTGCTTTCCATGAAAAGTGACATTCGGATCGTATTCGCGTTAAACGGTTTAAAACACTATTGTTCGTGTCATATTATTTTCTTTATTGTTTGATGGTTTCTCATGAAATTAAATGCACTAATGTTACACAAATCTCCAAATGATGAACACCATGAAAAATCACTGAACGAAATTTCAATTTAATACATCTTGTGTTGCTTGAGTTATTGCCCGACAACGGACTGTGTTCTTTTTGTTTAAAAGTGCACCGCGCATTGCATGCATTGTGTCTGTGGTTTTATTTTATCCACAGACACTACTGCAAAATCACAAGAGCGACCTCTATTGATTTTCACGTCGACACGCATTTCAGAGAGTACGTTTTAGTTTTGTTTACAGACGACGATCGACCGTCCGTCGAGTACGGCGTACACGCGGCAAAGTGTGAACGATTCTCAGTAAGTAAGTGGATGATCATGATGATCTTTTGGTTTTAAACTCCTACAACTCTGAAACATTCAGCATTAAAAACTAATAATACAGGTCGTATTGTACAGTACGGAGTATTTCAGCCACATTTATGGTGGGTAGTGTGTGCGACATGCCAGTGGACTGATCACCAATTCATGCAAGGCATGGAAGGGGGAGGGGGGGGGGGAGGTGTGCATAGTTTCATTTTCCGTCCTTTTATGTTAAATCTTTGTGCATTTTTCTTGTATGTTTTGTGTTTATTTGATTCAGAAATTAATGTAAAGTAAATTTGTATCTGTTGCTCATATGGATCTTGATGATAAAAAGTGCATGATTAATGTTTTGATCACCTCACCTGCAGTGCACATAGTTGATCATGGCTCGCCGACGACTTGAAGCAGCCATCCGCGCTGGTCGTGCCATCGACAGTGAGCAGTCCAAACCACAAGCAACCTTCACCAAGCTGATGTCATTACGAGTCATCGACATCACTGACTACTTCTCAGGGGTGTACAGCCTGCAGTTCTCTCACGATGGCGATTTGCTGGCAATCGGCTGTGGAAATGGGGGAGTCCTGGTAAATTGCAGTGTTTGTGGTCCCAACTATTAAAGTTAGCCCTAGCTGCGGTGTCTGGGCATGCAGGCTAGCCCCTCAAATGGGACCTCGATACTATACTGGCTCTTTTCACGCCGGATGACGTGTATTCGCGCAAAGGTTTTGCGGGGTTCAAAATGGATGACAGATAAACATGCAGGGAGCGAGGCCGGAACTATCTGTCAGCGACGCGCTCGCAGCGAGCGAGGCCGGAAATATGAGTGTGCTGCCCGAGGGTGATGGCTTCAACCCGCCTGGCATTGAGGTCGAGTGAATAGTAATCCCGCGCCTCGTTCCGTTCTTGTCAAAATACAAATGTTTTCCCGGCACGAGCTGGTTAAGGACTGATCCAAGCACGTTATCACTCACTGTGCAATTAAGCCAAATAAAAAAAACAGTTTCTCGTACAAACTTTTTCAAAAAAGGAGGACGCAGGCACTTTTTTTGTTCTAATGATGGATCCAAGGTGGTGGATTATTGTTTTCCGAAACATCCACTGCTGGACTGTTTCGTCTGACACAGTATTTGAGCGCAAGGCAAGCTGGCGCGGTCATGCGGTACAATGCGGCAGTCTCGCAGAGCTGCAGTGATCGCCGGGCGTCCGGCGCATACAAGGAGAGCAGCCTTAGATTTATTCCAGTACTGTGTTATCTTTTTACCAACGACGCAGACGCTTTATGTGCGTACCGTGGTGATCACCCGTGAGGATAGTTGTGCCAGTCTATTACGGCAATGGTAACCCATGGTGCTCGCTTTGCGATTTTACGGAGGAAGAACTGGGTGAAATTTGGACAATACAATGTAATAATAAATCCAGTGTTTTGTGTGAATGGTACAGTTAATGACACAACATTAAATTTCTATTCTGTTTGTCTCTTAAAATAAAATAAATAAATGTTTCAGTTTATCAAAATACTGCACGATCAAAAACATGGTGAAATGGACCAATGAAATACCGCAGCTGCCTGATAAATATTTATGAGGTATAGTAAAACAGATACAATGTTGTTTTTTTTTGCGGGGAAATGACTCCGAGGTGCTGGATGATTGGGACTATCTCCCGAGGCGAAGATAGTCCCAATCATCCAACACCTCGGGGTCATTGGTTTTCACTTTTTCCCCACAAACCATGTTGTATCTGTATACTATCCTCCCCCCCCCCCAATAGCAGTGGTACTAAGTAAGACTAGCATTTCTACGAAAGGCGCAATATTAGGATTTCATAATAACTGTTTTGTTTTTTGTTTTTCCAGTTGTACAGCACTAATACGGGTGAGATGGTGAAAAGCCTACATAAGGGAGGTCGCATGGAGTTACCGGTGATGGGGCTAAGCTTTCATCCCGAGCATAAAAACGAGCTGGTGTCGGTGGGTGCCGACGGTAACATCAACGTGTGGGATATAGAAGAAACAAAGAAGAAAATGTTCAACAAAGGTGAGAAAACAACAGAGTAGTGTTGTGTCTATCCATTAAAGAGGTTGTGGAATGCTCGAAGACATTTCCGTCATATTTCGGGTATATGTAGCCTAAGGTGTGATGAAATAAATACGACTATTGTTTCTGTCATAAAATGAGTACAAAAGGTACTTTTGAGAGCTGTTTTTCAAGTCCTGTCATGCCTGTTTCGACCCGAACGTGCAATTTGTGTAAAAGTCGTCGTTGCGGGCAGCAAACAAAACACAGTAAATCGTGACGTGATAAACAGGACTCCCAATGCAGAGTAGCATAAACGAGTCCTGTTTATTACGTCACGATTTACTGTGTTTTGTTTGCTGCCCGCAACGACGACTTTTACACAAATTGCACGTTCGGGTCGAAACAGGACCTGAAAAATAGCTCTCAAATGTACCCTTTGTACCCATTTCATGACAGAAACAATAGTCGTTACATATACCCAAAAAATGACGGAAAGGTCTTCGAGCATTCCACAACCTCTTTAAGGTTTGTCAGTGTTCCCAACGGTCCGAAACTTGATTTACAGTCCCTTTTACTATACCTCATACATATTCATGACCGAGAGCCGAATTCTCACTGGTCCATTCACCATCACGTGCCGGCCGCTACTTTTGCTGTTTACCAAGCGTGCACGCAGGTATTCACGCACTGGGTAAATACGAATACGTAGTAGACTATCGCATTGGTTACCCGTACGATAGTCCATTACACATGCGCTTTACGACGCAATCGTGGAAATGTCGCACGGGTGTAGTACGCACAAACATCTCCCTAGCTACGCACATCAGAAAAGATGACAGCACACGTAAAAATGTTAATCAGCATTTTCCCGAAGTCAATGATGCCGAACTGGAGAATATTTTGGACAATAAAGACGTCTCCCCTGCTAAAAGAAAGTTGTCCTCAATGCGGTAGAAACTGTTTGTGTTTTGCAAAAGAACTGAACTTTTCTGAGGTTGACCAATATTCTTCTGGTGAGCTGGACAAGTTTCTCTGAAGATTTTATGCCAAGGTTGCGTACTGCAACGAGAAAATTCAGCAACTGAATATGTATGAGGTATAGTAAAACAAATATTACGTGGTTTATTTTGGGTGGATTGTCGATATTAGCTCCCCTCAGTATTGTAAGTTGACTTCGCCTCGGGACTAGTTTGTCAACTTCCAATACCTCGGGTAGCTAATATTGACTATCCAACCTCAAACCATGCTATATTTGTATACTGTCGCATAGATGGCAGTCTTTGTGTCACCCTGAGCTTGGGATATTAATTGCTTCCCTAGTTCTACTTTCAGGCTAGGAGTTTACAAAGAAAGAAATAAATTTTGTTTTGATTTTCATACTCTATCTAGAAAAGAATAATGAGATCAATGCGATAGACTTCAGTTTGGATGGGGATGTGTACGCCACAGCAGGCAAGGATCTGTGCATCAGGCTATACGACGCCCAAACAAATCAGGTAAAACTTGATTGATTCAGACTTTTAGAGAGAGCGCTAACATTATCAGATGATAATGAAAGGTAGAGTATATCATTTGCAGCTATCCAAAAAGTAACTGACAAAATTATTGTTGAAAAGCTTACTTGGTTTAAAAATAGAAATGACACTAAACTCCCTGTGAAATTATTCTTTCTGGCATGCTGTCATTTTGAAGAAAAAAAATGAAAGAAGGCCATTTGCAACGATCGTTGGAAATTTGGCGCATCCGTGAATGGGTGCGCACAAGTGTTGACGCAATGCACACGCGCGCACAGTTGCCATGGTTGCTATAATTCATCAGTTCAGCATGTGACATCGGGTAGCTGCAATCAGCTAAATGAGAACGTTTCCTGGATGCTGATTTCAGGCTCAATTCAAAACATGACTCGGGAAAACTTTGAATTGAAAAAGAGATCCTAGAATATTGTTTCTTCTCCGAATATACAGCATTCACAGAGCTAAAGCGTCATCAGGTTAGTTGTTAAGTACCCGTCTGTAGATTTTGAGCACTTTTGTTGCTTCAAACGACAAATGATCTACCCTACCTTTAATTAAGATTGGTCAAATCAAATCAGATTCACACTTTTGACTCTTAGCTTGACCAAAATTAAATAGGGGCCCGTAAGTACACAATTGCCACAAATGTATTGAGATTTGATAATTTCTCCCTCCAGTTACTACAAACGTACGAGGGTTCCAACCAACTCCTGCCAGTGAGTGAGGACGAGAACGATTTGGGCCATGGCAGGCGGGTCTTTGCTCTCAAGTTCCACCCAGACGACAACAGTATCTTTGTCACCGGAGGCTGGGACAACTGTCTCAAGGTAAAGGCGAAGTCAAAATTACTATGCAAGTGGCTGCGAAAGCATCAGAGGTCATGTGCTTGATCTCTTGTCGGGGGCTATTACTACGCGGAGGGTCGGCATGGGTGGCGCAGTGCGTTAAGTGCACGCTTCTCACCGCTCTGGCCCGGGTATGTTTCCCAGCTCAAGTCATATGTGAAAAAGTGAGGTTGTTCGTTGATTCTCTTCTGCGCCACGAGGGTTTTTCTCCGGTTCTCTGGTTTTCCTCCCTTCCCAAAAATCAACACTTTCGATCTGTGGTTAGACATTGGTCATATGGCAGCTGTCTAAGGTGCCTTTACATGCCTTTGGCTCAACCATGTTGTAGCTGCGTCCTTCGCAATTCAGCTTCTGCTGCGAGTAAGGATGATTAACCTCCCCCCGAAAAAATGTATTTATACTATGTATTCACGGTCTGCGGGTTATTCTGCAGGTTGTGGGTTCGAGTCCAGCCTGTGGCTATGGTGCGTTTGTCCTCGGGCAAGGCACTTTGTCACTCATTGCTTCTCTCCACCCAGGAGTAAATGGGTACTTGTGAGGGCAGAGATGGTTATTGTGATTGATTTTAGCTGCTTTGTGTCGAATTGGCAGCATTGAGCTATATACTCCCCAGGGAGCTGAGATGGTATTTGGAATATTTCATTGGCCCAGTGAGCAGGGTAATAAATGATGTAGCACCTTGAGAACCAATACTTATGGTGGATACGTGCTCTTATACAAATATTGAATGCTTCGAGTGGTGTAGTAAAACTAGCCTCCCGAGGTGATCCATGGACCATTCTATTTTCCCGAGGCGAAGCCGAGGGAAAATAGAATGGTCCATGGATCACCGAGGGAGGCTAGTTTTACTTCACCACGAGATAAAGCATTCCATATTTGTTTTATAACACTTCACCCACAGATTCTGCTTGATTTTAATATTTTAAATTATTGAAATCTGAACACAGTTGAAATAAACTTCAATTTCAATACAAAATTGGTGAAAAATGTATTTCTCTCTTAAAAACTACCCCTTCACGAAATGTTTGAACCCAAGTCTGCGGCGCGCTCTCTTTGGAATAATACGCGCTACGCACAACGCTCAACGCGCACACCAGCATGCATTTGCACACAAATACCGCGCCGTGGAAATAGTACTTTGGTTGCTAATGGTATAGTACTTTGGTTGCTATGCGCATAGTACTTTTGGCCGTGCACAGAAAGATAGCAAAATTAGAAAGTAACATGTGACTCGCTCTCGGCCAATCAAGACACAGAATCTGTGGGTGAGGTGTTATAATTATAAATACATGTTATTATGTAGGCCTAGCTAGCTCTTGGTGCCTGTTTCAAACAACGCCATAGACTGAGTAAAACTCCTGTCTGTTGCTTCATCACCACTCACAAGAACTCCAGCACGAGGGGCACGTCGCTTGATAAAACTTACTGGGTCCGCTATTACCAATAAGAAATACTGAATGTTTTTGTGATCTCTCTTGGACAGATTTGGGATAAACGAACGAGTCATGGTGTGCAGGGAACTATTGGCGGTCCGCATGTATGTGGAAGTGGCATTGATATCAAGGTATGTTGGTGTTTCTAATTGGAAATTTTTCATTGAAATAGATTCCCCCTTATTACCACATTGACCTGCAGCCGATTTCACGAAACAGTGCGTATCTTATGCCTGTTGTAGGATCTAAGCAATTAATTAGTTGTGCAGCTGCGCAATAAACTTACGATCGATTTCATGAAAGTTGGCATAGCTGCGCGACGTTTTAACCCTAACTCCCTATTGCTAGGATGTAGCTTCGGTCCTGCAAAATCCTCCAATTGGCATCATGGAAAAATAGCATATATAGCCTCAATCCTGCAAATTCCTCCATTATTTCATGGATATGGTCTGTGTAGGGGTGACGACTGCCTGAATCCTGCAAAATCCTGCGGCAGTGACTGTCAATATGTTGAGGCTTGGCCAGTGACATCCTGGAGCAGTACGGAGGATTTCAAGCATAATCCAGGCCTATATTTATGCATGGCTGAGCAAAAACAACACAAGGTCCGGCCTACGCACTTTTGCCACTTTAACCTCAATCCTCCAAATTCCTCCACTTTGGCAAAGAGGATTTTGAAGGATTCAGGGCAGTTAGGGTTAAATTTAAAAATGGTGGACGAGGATAATTACAAGTTACGACGACTGATTGTACATGAGTATAATTTCTGTTCGGACACAAAACAGTTGTTGAATCAACTCTGCCTGCCATTTTGAAAGCAGTTTTTCCCGACTTTCTTCGGAATCGTGTGACAACTATTAAAATTACGTCACGGATTACGGACAAATGCAGAGCTTCGGGACAAAGTGAATGTTCTACCCGGAACTTGTTCGGAAATTGGCCCGGATTATGAATTGAGTCGAGCCCTTTTACCGATGCAGTCTTATAATAACTTGCTTTGCCTTTTTTTCCAGTCTGGTAAGATTCTAACTGCATCTTGGGTTGCCAGCAGCGCCCTTCAGGTCTGGGACCTAGCCATGGGTAGACTTGAGCAGTCCGTCCCCCTCTCGGGTACCGATAAGAAAGGAGAGTTTCTCTACTGTGCCCAGTTTTGCGATAACAATGTCGTGTTGGCAGGGGGGAGTGGAACGTGCAATGCCCAAGCAATCGACAGAACGACTAACCAGGTAAGGTTGTGCTATTAGTTATCACACGAGCACGAGTACACCACAGAATATTATCTTCAACAAAACTTGAATCCTCGATCCTGATTGGTCGATCCATGGCAACAACAGTGTAACATCCCATATAGCACAGACGATGTTGCGCTAGTTACGCGTATCACACTAGTTTTAGATTCTTGTGCTTTCCGCTTACGCATTCCATCTGAACTGGGCATCAAGTTGACGTGAAGTAAAGTTGTTATCCCACTCGTGCTCCTGTAACACAGAAAAAGAAGTGAACCTGTAGCCCATATGCCACTCCACCTTCAGCCATGTTGCATATGGGACACAAAAACAATTCCCCCCCCCCACCCGATAAAGACGTACTACATAATTTGATTTACATTTTCTGTGTTGCGCTTGCGCTCATGGGATAACAATAAACAAACATAGATTGGTTTTAAAACCCTCCTATGCAAACATACGTTCTGTGCAAAGTTGTCCTTCCAGTCAGAATCAATCAAGTGACTGTTTTCAACAGTTAAGAGCTCCCAGCCTACATAAGGCAGGATTGACTGGCTGTGACTGTTTAAATCACATGATACAGCTATGGTTTGACTGTAGGTGATTGATAAGCCAGCTGATGGATTTTGTCTGTTGACTGCATTTGACTAGACACAGTGCTTGCTTGAAATATGATCTGACTGTTGATGACCAGCCAGTGTAAAAGGCATGGCAGGGGAAGCGGATTGATTTTTTGACTGTCTGTGGCTGATCAAACAGCAGGAGGGTTTACTTAATGTGCCCTTAAAGTGTATAGTGTCTGGATAATTTGTAAGTTTTAGACAAAATTATGCCATAGAATTTGTAGTATAACTGTAATTACACTGGAGTTTATTCACACAATGTTTGTCTCGGCATCTAAATCACAGCCGTTGCCTAACTAGAAATAAATATTCCAGCACTGAAAGTAAAGAAGTTATTTTCAAAAAAGCTACAATGACATGCAATAGCTCCCTCTCTTGTTGAAACTTTGCTCTCCCTTTGTGCTGCAAGTTTCAAATAGCGCCCTCTATTGAGTGACAGAAGTGACTTGCAGTGACATTAAAGTAAAGTGCACAGCGTGTGTGATACCACATCTGTGCCTGTGTATTTATCTGGGGAATAATTGTTTTTCGTGTGATGCCGGATCAAGTATGATAATTTACAGCAAACTAAAAAAAAAAAAGAGGGGAAAAAAAGGAAAAAATTGCACAGTCAGCTAGCTAGAATGAGTAAATAGGAATCTTGTTTTGCATATTTTGTTGATGTGCGAGTGTTCAACAGCTGGATGTGTACATTTTCATTTTCGGATCCATGGACAATTTATCATGTTATTAGCATGGTAAAATGTTATTGCTGATTTTGTCGTCAGTTTGTTAACAATATTAACATTGAAGTGTCTGGAGTTTAGTCTTCTTATTTTACATTATTTCTGATGTTTGTTTGACAACAGTGAAATAAACTGTCTTTTCCTTATAAATGTGTATACAATGATAACTTGTTTCATTGTGCAAAAATTGAGCGAAAAATGTGTATGTTTTTGAATACTTTAATGACTTTACATGCATTTCTGAACATTTTTCCAATTTATTTGTGAATTAGATTAAGAGGGATGCAACTTTTCCTTGGATTTGCTGATTTCCTCGGTTTTTACTTCTCATGAATGCCATTACAAATTGAAAAACACTGGACAAAGTCTTGTGTGGTTTGGATTTTCCCTGGTTTTTTTTCCAAAATTGCCAGTTGCATGCCTGAATTTAGCCTCGTTTTTCCTTGCTTGCATGACATAAATTCACATTTTCTCCTTATACTGCTTGGTTTTCACACAGAATTCGCCCTTTTGAATTCCCTTGAATTCTCCAAAACCATTTTCAAGCAAAGAATTGGAGCCCGTTCTAGACAGTGCAACTTACCCCAACAATTTTAAGCATGTGCCATTTCAGATATTTTGCAGGTAGTCGGGAAGACTTTTTAATAACAAATTGAAAAAGTAAATACATGTACTTCATTGAAAACGTCCTGGGTTTGGTGATTTTCATCTCTCAGATTTCGTTTGGCTGAATTTGTACTTTGTCGGGTCCCCGCCGTGTTTTGGTCGCGCGGCAATATCGTGTTACACAATTGATGAAGTTGCCACATTGTGCTGGGTTTCGTAAGGCAAGGGGTCCTTAAATGCTGGGGACTATCACATAATGCATTATTCCGGCCCCCTCATGTACAAGTACGATGTCGGTAAATATCATGAAATATTAGTCAACGGTAACACAATATTGAGGAGCGAAGTGGGTGTAGTGGAGTGCTCTAGCTGAGTTTTCTCCTTCAAAGCAGTTCACTGAGATTTAGAAAGGTTAACCCAATACAAAAAATACACCCACATACAGCTAAACCTTCTCAGACTATTATTCATATGTGAAAATCTGTGACTGAAACAAACAGCCTTAAAGATGCGTTTCCCGTGCAGTTTTCAAGTTTCACCTCGAAAAATCGATTTTTTTTTCCATTGCTAGTTTCCTTACCATATAAAAGTTATTCACTTTTGAATGAGACATCGAATGAAAAAAAGGCACCGACGTTTAGTTATTGAATTGTTTCTCCACAAAATTCTGAATTATTGGCTGCCAGGCAATACCTTAATTTGGATCTCACTGGGCGGGTTCATTTGTGTCTATAACGAAAGCCCTCTTTCAGAGGAATAAAGTAGTGTTTCCATTGAAACAAAACATACAAATTGAAAATCTGTTTTGAGAAAGACAACAATTTTTTGTTTTGAGGAGCATGGTGTATGCGGCTTTAGGTTTATGGCAGTGCACTATGCAATTATTATGCTAGTGCGTCAGTTGCATAATCTCAAAAAGATATATTTTTAGTGTAGGTAATATTGACATATGTTTTCCAGTTGTTTATGGTAGCTAAATTTCTGTCCTGATGATTTGAAATTCACAGGCGTGTGGAAAATGGCAAACCTGGATTTTTCTTGGCATGTTATTTTTCTAGGCGTGTGATATTTCTAGGCCTGTGATTCTGTGGTCCAAACTGGGACTGAAAAATTTGGTATTTTATTTCATAATATTCATCTTGGTGAATTTTTTGCCCACAAATTATGAGGTATAATTATGCCGTAAATGTATTCCAAGGTGTGCCGTATAGAGGGATTCAGGCATGCGATTAATGGCACTTCTGGGAAGCTTTTAGGCGTGCAGTGGGGTGGGGGTGTGATCGCACGCCTCAAATCAGAAGGACTGTTATTTTTTTAAATTGTGAGATTCCGTGACTGATCACAGTTTAGCGGTAGAACTTACGTGTGGGTGTGCTTGTGGTTTTGTGCAAACACTGAAGTTAGTCTTTCATGAATTTGAATCACCAGTTCCAAGCTGGTATTTGGGCAAGCAAGTAACAGAAACAGTAACTGAAACTTGAGAGGCTATACATGCAATATCTGAAAAGCTACAAGAATTAAACAGCAGGTGTAGTTTCTATTTTCCTGAATACATGTATCTCATCAACTAAGAGTGGGGTAGGGTGGGACTGAGGAGTTAAAGGTACAATCCATCATTTGCAGCTATCCAGAAAGTACCTGTCGTAGTTATTGTTGAAAAGCAGTTTTGGTTTAAAGATATCCGGTAGTAATGGGACTAAACTCCCTGTGAAATTGTTCTCTCTGGCAAGCTGTCATTTTGAAGAAATCAATGAAACAAGGCCTTTCAGACGATGCATCTAAAGATGCATCTTTGGAAATTTCTGTTAGTAGTTCGGTTTTTTTTTTATTCAGCGAAGCACGCGCAAGTGTTCACACGATGCACACGCGTGCGCGGTTGCTATAATTTGTCAGTTCAGTGCGCGACATTGCGTAGCTGCAATCGGCTCAGTGAGAACGTGTCTCGGTCACTGAATTTGGGCTCAATTCAAAACATGACTCAGCTACTTTTGATTTGAAATCGAGATCCTACGATATTGTTTTCTCGGAATATAGGCCTACAGCATTCACTGAGCTGACTTTTCATCAGGTTAGTTGTTCAGCACCCTTCTTTAGACAATAAGCCTATACAATACAATAAGCCTATGTACTGATGACGTCATACTTTGGTTACACTTGTGCTTTCTTATGGGAGCCTGGTGGGCATGACAGTTTAAAAGCCCCATGGAAAAGCGCACATGTAAACAAAGTGTGACCCTTGTTATCCTTTGATATTTGGGTGTGAAACTACTACACATTCTTTGTCAGTGTACTCATTCCATGTGAAAACCAGTTTCATATGAAATTTGTAGTATCCACTTAGAACACCAATTATCACCTCATCTTAGACAACACTACATGTACAAACTGTCCACGATCAAATTTCTCATTTTGCAAATTTGATTTGTCGAGAATGCTAAAAGTAATGAGACACTGACTTTGTGATCAGTGGGGATTTGTCATATTTTTTTTGGTGGTAAGAATCACGCGTACGCCCGAGGCATCCGTTGTACGGCGGTGAACCGGCGGAATAACAAATCGGCTTTTAGGTCTATGACGCGGCCCGCCTGTGGCTTAAGTGAGCAAATGAACAGCCAGGCGTCTGCCAGGAAGATTTGTGCAAATGAAGAGTTACAATCATTGTGTCTAGACTGAATGGTCGAAACAAATGGCAGGCGTCGGAGAAACAGGATGTCTTTAAAAAAAAAAAAAAATTGTGAAAAAGTGGCTTGACAAACTTCCAGTTACATGTTAAGTTTACTTCAGTTATTTACAACAAAAAAGACTGACCAGTTTATTTCATCATAGTTAAAGACATTGAACCAATGCTTAGTTTCTTGTCAGTTTGATGTGACTCTTCATATTGCGGGTAAAGGTACGGTACATGTATGTCTATTTTGAGAAAAAGTTGATTAGTTTTTCCCACATGCTAGTCATTTCTGTAAGTGCACATGTATCATACATAGTACTTAACCGTAAATTAAGTACGTACATTCACATTCTGTTTCGTAACCAGAGGTTGATGCCCCTAAACTTGCTGTAGCGTGGGAAGGGTAATTTACATGTAGATGACTGAACAATTTTTTTGACGTATTTTTTAAAGGTAGAGTTAGAGTAGATCATTTGCAGCTTTCCAAAAAGTAACTGACAAATTTATTGTTGAAAAGCTTACTTGGATTAAATATAGTGATGGCAATAAACTCCCTGTGAAATTATTCCCTCTGGCATGCTGTCATTTTGAAGAAAACAATAAAAGAAGGCCATTTCCAAAGATGAGTCAAGTGACGCATTTTTGGGAATTTCTGTCAGTAGTTGGTTTTTTAATTCGGCAAATTCGTGAATGGGTGCGTGCAAGTGTTGACACGACGCACACACGTGCATGGTTGCTATTTTTACCTCGGTTCAGTGCGTGACATCGCGCAGCTGCATTCGGCTGAATGAGAACTTGTCCCAGATGCTGATATCGGGCGCAGTGCTAAACATGACGCGGCAACTTTTGAATTGAAATTGAGATCCTAGAATATTGTTTTCTCGAAACATACAGCATTCACTGAGCTAAATCTCCATCAGGTTAGCTGTTAAGCACCCATCTTTAGATTTTGAGCACTTTTGTTGCTTTAAACAAAAGAAATGCACGAATGACAAATGATCTATATTTGTACTTACCTTTAATGTTTAATCAGGACCATATATTGGTTAATTTTCACTACCTTCTATTTCATAACCAAAGGTTGATGGCCTTAAACTTGCTAAAGTCTGGAGTCGCCAACCTTCATGTCAAAATACTCGTCTAATGTGGTGTTTATAAATATACTGTAGCACCTTATGCCAGACTCTCACAGTGCTTCACAATTATCACCCTGTTCATCAGGCCATGGGACCATTTTTCTGCAGCAGCTTGAGATAAGCACAACCTGGTCTCTACCTTCGCAGGGACTCGGTTAAACTCCTGGGTGGACAGAGGCAATTGTAGTAAAGCGTCTTGCCCAAGAACACAAACCACATGTACTCCCGTCAGGGCTGAAACCCATGTGCATAGCATCATACATGAGTGGGACGCCATAACTATTGAACCATGGGGCTCATTTGAAATACTCAGCCTCCGTGCTAAGGCTTGATTCTTGGAATTGTAATCTCATAATTCAGTAAATGTAGGGGACAGGAACTAGACCACATTCACCGTTTTTATTTGCTTTTTGTTTCCTCAGTTGATTGGCCATGTTGATCTTGATGGCAAGGCCGTGCAGGCATTGGACAGCACAGACGGGGGTCGATACATCGCAGTGGCCGGGTCTTCACCAGTTGTAAAGCTTGCCCAGCTGGCGTAGAAATCCCCGAGCTGAGAGACTCAAAAGATTCAGGGTAAGCTTGGTCTTTCAAGAAGTGTGGACTCTTTGCTCAAGCACACCTCAATGCAGAGCTGCCAACTCTCTCTGATTTGCAGAAAGTTCCCTGAAAATGAACCAATATTTCCATGTTCTGATGAACAAATTTGAAAATCTCCCTGATTATGGAAACTTTTGTCCCTATTATGTTGAATGTAATTTTCTAAATATCTCCCTGATTGTGGGTACACAATCTCTATGATCGCAAGATGCAAATGTTGGCAGCTCTGTCAATGGGAACATCGAGGGAGAGAGTTAGGCAGATTGCTATTGTTATTGGGCCTGCACCCGATTTCATCAAACTCTTCGTAACTTACGATGCATCGCAGCGATGCGGCGCGTCGTATCTCTACGATGCGTCGCAGTTGCGACGCGTCCTGCGATCCATTTCACAAAACACGTCGTAAGTGCAACGCGTCGTAGGTGTATTTATATCACAACTCGGTGACTGTTTAATGTATTTAGTCAGTGTACAGTAAACAGTCGTCTGATATTCAACAAAGAGTCGTCGGATCTCAGCTCGAAATTTGTTAAAACGTAAAACAAAATGGCAGCCGTGCAATGCAATTTTGAAGGAAAACAATCTCTCATTGGACTGTATAGCTACTTTGAAATTTCAACTCTAATATTCCGGTCTAATTCATAATTATTCAATGAATTTTCTATTTACAACTTTATACACATTGCCTCGGTATTATAATCTCGTTAAAGTAATGTTTATGGCATAAAACTGGCTTAGAAATGACTCTCTTATTTTGCGATGACCACTAGACACGTCGTAACTTGCGACGTGTTTTAAGCTGTTGTCAAGGAACTTACGACACGTTCGACACATCGCAACTTTCGTGAAATGGAAGATATGACGCGTCCCGAGTTGCGACGTGTTACACGTCGTAACTCGAGTTGCGACGTGTCGCAGTGCTTGGTGAAATCGGGTGCTGTTTGTTTCCCACAGTACCTGATGGGATCTGGGATCCCTTCCTATGTTTTGCTCAGATCCTGATCTGGATCATGGATCTTAAGGATCTTCCCGAGAGGTAGTCTGAGTATCACCCATTGTCCAACAGAGCCCTCTCCATAACCAACGTCTGATACATGTGAGCAGTGCAAATTTTATGCGACCCCGTGTGCCAGCCAATCAGAGTCGACTTTAGAAATTGGATGTCATTGCAATCAGAGATGTGGACGGAGCTGTTTATCGGTCAATTTGGCTGACATGTTTTTATAAAACTAATACAACAACTTGTTATGGAAGACCAGATACAATGTAGAAGGCGCCCGCTGAAGGTCAGAATCTCGAGGTTAAGACGCAGTCTTGTCTTGCATAATTAATCAACGAATCTGCTCGCATATAGACCCGTGCTGTACCTGCAAGGGGATGTTCCATAGTCTACCAGAGACGTTGATCAGCGCAAGATTCAAAATGGCGACTAACGAAGCAATGTGCAACATAAACCGTCTCCGTGGTTGCTTGGTACCAAGAATTCCTCTAAAGCACCCATGGCACTATAGCTCGCTAGTACAAAATATGTTCTTCATGTACCGGTACCCTTTAATGCTTAATAAATAAATTATATTTGTGAAGGGCAAAGCCTAATTTCTGAAGCTCTTGCACCTGGAAGGTACATGTAAGTACTTTCCAAACTCAATTATATACATCATGTATGTAATTTGGTGTGACAAAAACAAGCAGTTAAACTTCAACAATACAAGAAAATGCAGCTTAAAAACTTAAATTGCATCCTTTGTGAAGTTTTCAAGCATCCATGTACATATGTTGTCTGTACATGTACTCAACAAGAAAAGCTATATATCTACATGTACACGAACCACCTGCCTGTAAGCATGGAGATTCTATTAATAACCAATTTAAATTCAACATCAGTTCATTTGAGTTAAAGTAGCATCCAAATTCCCTGTTGCCTGTGCGTTTTGAGACAGTACCTACCAGTATAAAGTCCACGTCAATTTCCTGTTTGAAGCCAACCATGCGTAAAGTCATTCAACTGATCATTAAAATCGCTACCTTGAAATTAGATCTGTGTATCTGCGTGTACTGGTAGTTTCCAAACTGTACCTGATAAAAGGCTGGCATATGCATGCATAGTTTCCCGACCTTTTATGTGATGTTTTTGTACAGTAATAAACCTGTGCTTATGCTGCTGCAGTAAAAAAAGTGCAAAATATGACTCTTATCGATGACAACTTCAGCAAAACATTGGGCATTATTCTGTACGTATGCACTCAGACACACGATGCATTCCTCCCATGAACAAATGCAACAGCTTTGTTTGTAATTCGAAATTAGTCCTGTGTACTTTTAACCACGTGTGCCAACCACTTTTGTGTTTGTGATAAGTTTACTCTTATGAGTTGTTTCCGAGTAGGCCTTCAGGTCATATACAGGCAATTAATTGATCATTTGCATTTTTGTAACCTACCAAATTATTATCAAATAGCTTACTTGGATTAAGAATCATACATGTACTGGTACTAATCACCCCGTGAAATTATTACGTCTGGCTTGCTGTCATTAAGAAGAAATCAAGAAATGTAGGTGATTTCAAAAATTCAGTCAATTGACTGATTTTTGGAAATAAAGAGTGCTATAGATGAAATCGTGTTTTGTGATCAAAAGGTTGTGCATGTTTTTTTTCACTGTTTTCTCGAAAAGTGAAATATCAACTGAGTTGAAACTTAAACAAGTTGGGCTTTGAACATTCCTCGATGGATTTTTGAGTGGTGTTATTATTGGAAACGAACAAAATGCATGAAGCGCAAATGATCTTACACATGCCTTTAAGATACCATTTCAAATGCATACATTAATGATAACTCAACACAAACACCAAAAGAAAAGTAAACTGCATCTGTTGTTTTTCCAAACACTTGCCCGAGTTGCGTCTTTAAATTTCCAACTGTGTTGAATAAAACTACGGAAAGCTCTCTGTAGCACCTTGAATGGTTTCTTTTTTCTTAAAAAAGAAATTCTCTGGAATCAAGATTTGAACCATAAACCTATAAAATACAATGCCAGTGCTGTACCCACTGAGTCTGAGTAGGCATGCATATAGTTGGCACTATCCCAAAGTGCCATACAAAAGTGCAAAATTGTTTTGAAACTCATAATTGTACGATTAAAAGTTGCAAACAGTTTTTGTTAGTAAATTATAGAGAGGAAGCAGTATTGTGTAAAATTTGTTATGAATGAAATGCAGCACTGCATGTATATGACGGTACATTACATACACATGTAGTTGTGTATCTTGAAGCAAAGGATGAAATACACAAGCAGTATAGTTTCTGTATACCGGTATGTAAATTTTACATACCAATTGACAGGCATGCAACTTTTCCTCGGATCTACTGATTTCCTTGTTTTTTTTTACTTCTCACGAATGCCGTTACAAATTGAAAAAATAGTCTTGTGTAGTTTGGAGTTTCCTTGTTTTTTTCCTTCTAAATTCCCAGTTGCATGCCTAAATTTAAAGGGAACAAATGATGAAATGAGGACTTACATTTGAATGCATGTATATTAACAGAAATTCCTTCGTTACTGAACAGATATTAAGATATTGATACCAGATATTCAATTATTTATAACCAAGTAAAAAAAACACAAGCCCATTTGGAAAGCACTTTGTCTACCAAGCATGGCCTTGCGTTAGATGTGATAAAAAAAACACCAATGGAATGTGCGTTGCTGGTGGACTATTGAACAGCGCGGAAGCAAACTATCGATCGTTACCATGGCAGCCAGTCCACCAATCAAAGTGGAGACACCTGTTGAGCGCTATTCAGAAATGCCCTGGACGTAATGGTTCTATTGTTTGATTGGGGTGGGGGGGGGGGGGGGGGTTGTGACGTTCAACCAAGGTTGCGAGACAATTCTTTCCAGTAAAACGGACTTGCATGCTGAAGAGCCATATGCTACTCAGCACTGTATACACTGTTTTGAGTGTGCTCAAAACGGAAGTGTAATGTATGTACAACATTAAAAACAGATTCATTTGAAAACATGTGCACAGGCCAAAAATTTGCATTTGTGTGTGCATGATCTGGTACACGGTACCCTGTGGAGACATGAGCATAATAGGGAACAAAAGATTGTAAACATGTACGTCTCCACAAGGCAATTTCTGATAGATTGTCTCAACAAGGTTATTACAAAATAGATAAATGGATTTTACTCAAAAAGTAGGAATTTCCAAGGTGTGTTGCAAAGTGAAGTATTTTATGTAAGGGATATTAAGTCCAAATTTCAGCCTAGGAAATTAATTCTGGTTAAAACATTTTGAAACTTCACTTTCAAACTCGAAAACTTTAGTACACAAGAACAAAGAAATGACTCCACAAGGATACAAATTCCAGTTTTGGTTGTGTGTGGGAGTGTTTGGAACAAGAATCACATAGTTGTGTGCATACATGCAAGAAATTCATCCGGGAGTTACAATTCAAAAAAAATAATTGGGATTGGGTTGAAGAATTGCATCGCTATTAAGTACCTGCTGAAGCAGTGTACATTAGAAAAATGAAGCAGATGAAGTTAGCCTTCGACTGTTATTAAGTTACAGTGTTCCTTTGATGTATAAGCACAAATGATACAATATGACACAAATTGCCATTGCAGTGACAAGAGAAATTATAATTTAGATATTATGTTCTTTCCTATCATAATATCTATAGACACAATTATGCATAAATCTGGATGGACTGGTTACACAGCATTTATAAAACGTTCAGTTTTCTTGCTTTTTTTCTTCAAATTTTTCGGCGATCTGTATCTTGGAATTTTTTTTTGAAAATTTCTGTGACGTACAAATCTGCATGGTACACAAAGGAATCAATTATATAAACAGAATAATATTTAATATTTTTGGGGAACCCCAAATCACTGATTTTGTGGTAGTATCTGATTCTCAAATACGAAGGAAAGGATGAAAATTTTAGTCCAAGTACGGGAGGTTTACGTTTGTGCAATTACTCCATCCCAAAGACTATCATCTACATGTATGTAATTGTATGCTGCGTACAGTATAGGCTTTATTCACGAGTCGGCCATATTAAATTGAAAGCAAGATAAAATCTTCATTTTTGGAACTTGCGAAATGAAAGCAATGACATAAAGTTAATTACAAATTATTGTCATTCTGCTCTGTTCAATAATTTAAAATTTGAGATTAAACATACCCCAATGGTTTAAGCCACATTAAAAAAAAAATTGAAAGTGAGGCTTGGAACGCATAAATAGTCTGGCACCATCCCATCCAACAGTTTACAATTTATTAAATACATTCAGGGAACACGATCCAAAATGGCTTCCTCGTGAATAAGGTCTATAGTGCACTCTTTTGACACTTTTTTGACTTTTTTTTTTAATTTGAGAAACTATGTCCTTTCTCCCCCAATCAATAAAATCCTGTCAAATATCTATCAAAGACTCGCCTCTGTTTAGGATGACCATACATTGATTTAAATTTTCCGGATATATCAATCAATAGGCAAGTCCAACATCTGACCTGTGAAAGCAACAGCCTGGTGTTCAGCATGAGCAAACTGATGAAAATCCTATCGTGGATTTCACTGCAATTAAGGCTATAATTACATGGTCAAATTTCATGCAATAGCATTCAAGAAAGACCCTTTTTTTAATACAGCTGTGCATTTTTTTAATAATATACAGGGCGAGTCAAAAAAAAGAGCAACCCAAATGTCGGGACTATTGTTTTGGTGAAGTGCTGCGTGTACAGTAGCACTTTCAAAATCTAGGATATGAAAGCCCAATTCATAAGCTTTCTTTTAGTACAAAAATCTTTCAAATCACTCATGTCCTTTTCAAGTTACTGAATTTTAAACACAACCGCCGTTTTAAAATTCTGTCCACGGATCACAAAAACAGTGTGCATTCTTTCAGCAAACCAAAAACAATTCACACACATCCATATGTGAAATCTTTTCGTTTTGCTGAAAGAACACTTCAGGAATTTGGGACCCTGTTGTCCTCTATTGTTCAATGTTCCCTATTGAATGCAGAACTTGGACGCACATGTGCAGTGTGTCCCGTCCATAAGACTCTCGAAAGTGTTAAAAAAAACCTCTCTATCTTGTTTGTGCACGGATCCCATGATAATGTATCCCTCACATCAAGCAAAACAAGTAAATAGAAGTTAAACTGTAATAGGGTTAATGCTTTGGGAGATGGCCTAACATAATGAACGACCTTACCCTAAAAATACAAACCACACAAAGTTTCAGACTGGATCTCAGGTTTCATGGTTCTGCAATAAAATATAAAATCCAGCTAATGTACATGTGGTTTTTAAATTTTTATCTGTCTGTACCGGTTGTGTTCTTTTTATGGAATTGACGTACATGCATTCTTCATAAGCCCAGTTGCTGTGCGATAATATACAATCTTTTTAATCAGCTCTCTTGCGTCGTTCTTTGACTCTAATTCTCATGTTTATGGAGTTTGAAGGCTTGCTATGGCTTATCTAGATAACAGCTGCTTGGAGGTTGAAGTGTTCCCATGGTTATCACTGATTGTGGTGACTAAACGTGCAGTTTAAAAATATCTGCCCATGTTTTCTCTAATTTGTTTGATTTATGAATAGCTATAATAAACGGGGAGTTCGTGATCCGATGTTTTTCTCTTTTTTTGGGTTTGTTTGGCGAGGCCTGTATGCAAAAAACCCTTCTGTTTTACGTGGGAAGGATAAGGAATTTGGAAATGCAACATGTTAGTTTATGAAATTTTTCTCTTCCATTCTTTGGGCAGCTAATTACTGATAAGGACGGCTGGATAAATAATTCATCGTTTGTTCTGGGGATATGTTTTTGTCAACATGTGATATTGAGGTTTGAAGAGACTGGCCTTTACATTTTTGTGCTTGATGGATGTTAAGGTAGAGTTTGGGGCATGCAGCGTTGTAGTCGAGTCCATCATAATTACGATAAGACATCACAAGTCTTCCCTTGTTTAAGTTACTCCCCTCCCCCTTGTGATTGGACTTGTGAAAGGACTTGTGATATACTCTTGGTGGGCTTGATGGACACACAAACTGCTTAACTGGATCGTTACTATGTCCACATAATTATTCAGTCGCTTATATGCTTCAGAAAATGTTATTGAAGTAAGGATGTGTTTTTAAAGTAGAATCACCAAAATATACTTTTCAAAATATTAAAAAAATATAAAATGTACCCAAATATGGGAACAAATAACGTAGGTATTTACGGCTTTAAACAAGTCAGTGTAACAATAATTGCTATAAAATACTAAAACCCCCCAATCCCATCCATTTCTGAAAATTACAGCAAAAGCAAATGTTGTATTTTACCTTTAATGCTATGCAACCCTTCTACTAGTGAAAAAAGTCTGTAGGAAAAGGACGTCAGGCTTTGGCAAACCTGCTGTCTGCATAATCACATTTACATAATTATGGCAAATATCATGAAGACCTTAATTTTGGTGACTGCTCTATGTTCCGACACCCCTATGTTTGGTTAGGGTGAGGAATAGGAGTATGTGCAGTCAGAACATAGGGGTGTCGGAACATAGGGGTGTCGGAACATAGAGATGTAACCCTTAATTTTAACCCTAAAATATCTCTTTCTGATTGGTTACACTCGTAGGTTTGATTTGGCAATGCAACATTACATGCAGGAGAATGATGGCCCAGGGTTCAACAGAAGTGAGCAAAAGCATTCCTGAGTTGGCTGGTAGTCCGTGATATGGCAGTCAAGAATCTTACCTTTTGGTGAGTGTATATATTAATGTTGGAAGAAATTTCTAAGTTTGGAAAAGCTGTTGCAAAAAAAAACGGTGGTTGAATTCTTCATAGGAATGCGTTTTCCGTCCCCTCGATGTTTTGTGAATTCATAAATTTCATTATCCGTCCAGTTTATACAATTGACATTTTTTCAGATATGTGTCTAAGAGAGATCTATATTGTGTACATATTTGTAATTTGAAATCTTTAACTATACCCAGTATAGTACCAAAAGAATTGCCCTGAATTGTGTTCCTGTCAAACATATGGTTCTGTGGTGCAGCTAAAAGTTGTATATATTGTATTCAAATATTGTTATCGAGTTGCATGTACAGTCATCATGCACAGTTAATATTTAAAAAAAAATACAAAAATAAAATACCAGGGTATACAGTCAACTTCCGCTCGATAAGATAAACAAAAACGTTAAATTGAAATTGAAAGATTAAGAGAATGTCAGTCAGTTTTTTTTTCTTTTGCAGTGTAAGCAAAAACTGGTTTACTCAATTACTCAGGATGAAATATTGTGAATGCAGCATTAACTAAAGGGACAACTAAATTTTACAAGCATTTACTGTTGAGGTTAAACTAAACACTGCAAAAAGAGAAAGAAAAAGAAAGTCCACACTCATTGGAGTGATCATAATTTTAAATCTGATCGTTTTATGATGATGTCATTCATATAGACCTTTGGGGAATTTTGTTAGTTACATTTTGATACCCCGTTTGCTACCAAAGACTGTAAATCGTCCAAGATTGTCAACGGTGTATGAAAATGAGGCAGTTTGAAAAGTTGCAAATTTAAAAAGTGCGCTAGTTGAAATTGCTGCATGACAATGTCACACTGCCCACAACGAATGGCAGGGAATTTCATCACACAGTGCTTGCATGCATGGGGGCACACGAATGGAAAGGCCCCCGCTTTGTTCGGGCACCGTGCAGTCGATAGGGGCCAATTACGGGCATGTGTGGTTACGCTTAGCAATTTCTCCTCGCATAATCTTTGAATTTTTCAACTTTTTAAACTGCATCATTTTTCATAAACCGTTGTCAATCTTGGACAATTTACAGTCTTTGGTAGCAAATGGGGTATCAAAATGTAGCTAACAAAATTCCCAAAAGGTCTATACAAATGACATCATCATAAAACGATCAGATTCAAAATTATGACCCCTCCAATGAGTGTGGACTTTCTTTTTTTTTTTGGTGGTGTTTATCTGTACATAGTAATTAATGGATACCGAGATGTGTTCCTTACTTCATGCACTCACTCCAGACAGAGTGTCACAGTGTTTTTTAGCTTTTTGAATTTATTGGGTTCTTTGTTTGTTTATTTGTTTTGCACGGGCCAAGAACCCTTGAAAGTGAATTCCAATCTTAAAGGGAATATACAACATTTGCAAACATCGAAAAATAAAACTACCAAGTTTTTACAAAATACCTTACTAGGATGTTGGTAAATGACAGTCTCAAGCATCTTGTAAAATTATGGCACCTGGTGTGAAGTCATTTTCGAGAAAATTGTATTTTTGTATACATTTCCAACGGTGGTCGGCCGATCAGCGTTGGAAAAACCTAACTATTTTTCAACTACTGCTCCAAATTTACCATTTTTTAGTCCAAATTTTGTTTGCTATTGGTTACATGTTCATGAACGGGTGCAGGCCAGCTAGACTGGTTCCCTTGCCTTACAATTTTCCATCATCTATAAATTGATCCATTTTATCTTTTGTGGAATCAGGGAACCAGACTACTTGAACATTTTTGTTTTTCTTGGTTTTTCCAACCTTTTCGAACACAAAACTTCACAAATGTCAGTGTAACAATATTTGATCTATTATTCTAACCCCTTGAATAGTTCATTTCCGAAAATTACAGCAAAAGCCAATGATGTACATTCCCTTTAAAGAGTAGCCAAGACTCTGAAAGGGGAAGGAAAAAGTTAATTTTAGATCGGGGAGGAAAGCCTAGGAGTGGTAATCATGAGAAAAACCTGCACATAGACCAATCCGAGTTGCCCATGTTTATGATTATTGGGCTAGCTTTCCTCCATGGATGCTCCAAAGCTCGCTTTGGCATTTGTCATAATGCACTCCCCATTATTGAGGCATTTGGAGCTGTACAGAAAGTGTGATGGGTGTCAGGCATGGAAGTGTCCTAGTAATACGCCTATCAATTGTTTCCCCCACCCCTCCCCCACCCCCGGCTGCCCCACCCAAGACATGGGGATTGTGACTTTTGAAGTGAAAACATCCCCACCCCTCGGGCAAAATTTAAGTGACAATCCCCGAACATGCCCCGACATATACGTGGGCGCACTAGTGATTGCCTTTCCATGTGGTACGCCAATGTTAACAATGTAATTTCAGTGAACAAAAGCCCCACCCTGGGGCATGAAAAACGTGACCAAATCTGACATCGGACCTAGGGCGGGGTGGGGGGGGGGGCATTTGATAGGCGCTTAATGGCTACCATCACCATCATTTCAAAATTGGATTGGTGTATAGTGCGACAGGTTACGAAGGTTTTTTTTTAAATTTTCACTTCACAAACCTACATGTACTTGTATGTGTGTCCTTCCTTTTTTTTTCAAATAAGTGCCTATCGAGGAAAATGTGCCTATACCGGTATTTGTACATTGCTTAGACTTCCAAGAAGATCATGCATTGTCCATGGATAGCAGATTCTGAGGAATAAAAAGTCTTATGTACATTGTAGGTGACCCACAGACTTAAGTTTTCCTAATCTTGCCAAATGTTTAAAAGTCTGTTTTGCTATTGATGTGTATAATTTCGCACATATTTGAATTCTATCTTGCTATTTCAACCTTATTACATGTATATATTCTGTTAAACAGTTCCTTTTTACAATGTGTTGATATTATGCTAGTTCCTGTGTAGTAATTAGGTTTATGCATGCCAGTTTGTATAGCATCACAGTGCCATATGCTCACAGCTACCAAATAGTCCCTGTTCCATTCTACGACTGTAATTAGAGTACGAAATTGAATCACTATGTTTGTCTCATTGCCATGTTATTTACATGCAAAGTTATTTAGATTTTCAAAGTACTTAATGCACTTTTTGTGAAGTTTATCATCATGCATTTGTCTACTTTCGCTCCGCAAAAGTCTATTTAAATAGGCCAGTTCAAACTGTTCGTGTTTACATCCAAATTGGACTTTTATGGGTTCCCCCCCCCCCCCCCGGATAAACAATGCACCATATGCTACATCTATCATGTGGGATTCCAAAATGGCAGAATGTTGACAAATCACCCCAAATCTCGCAGCTCCCTTCCATCAAAAACAGAACCAGGTCAATAAGGAAGGGTCAAAACCGTTCGACAAACCTACCAAGTTTCAGAGCACTGAAACTTGGACTATACTATTCCCTATCAAACTATTCCTTATCAAACAGACAAAGTCTGTTACAGTACTCCATGGAACTTCTGTTCTGAAGAACACTAATACCCCCGACCCTCCAAAAATATCAATTAGCATATTTTTGTATGAATGCAAATAGATGCCGAGTGTTTACCAGATGAAATATAAAGGTACATGAACTTCAGTTAAAAATAAAATGGTTATCAGTTGTTTGCATTTTGGAAAGAAGCCAATGTTGTCCAGGCTCTTCATTGATTCATTTTCAGCCTGCATAGCATTGTCTTTGGAGTGTTACTGACCAAATTTGTTAAAAGGTCTAATAACTTTGCTTCCATATGGTGCGTATAGAGTTCAGTATGAAACTCTATCTTGATATATGGCTCAACGAAAGTGCACATAATTACGTGAATTTTGTCCTTACCTTACAAATACATACACATTTGCAATCAACAGGAATTACCAGTGGGGCCTACATTGTTAACCTACATGTGCATTTATGAACAACAAGGCAATCCTAATTTCATTTTTTACAGCTTAGTGTATTAATTGTTGCTGCCATGATCAAATTTGTGCTCAGACCTAAAAACTCTCCTTTTTTTAACAAGCCACTTTTTCTTCGCTCTCGGCAAAATTGTTGAATCAACAATTATTTTAACCCGTGTCTGGTACACAGGCAATCCATCTGTGTGTGCACGATTCCCCCCATCAATATTGGGACTGATGTTGAAACACATCAATAAACTGAACATGCTATTACTCATTAGCATGGACTGGCACAGCTGTTTTTTTTGCTGGCGTATTGTTTGCGGTTTGCGTCAGGGACATGGGGAATCCCACTGTTAATGACGGAGTCTGCGGATGATATTACATATTCATTATGGTAATTCCAGTTGAGCTGAATCCTTGCACATGATGAACATGTATGTGGTGTTGCGATGGCACATACTGTACATGTATCTCATCATTATGCACATAGGTTCATGCATACTTGGTGGATGGATATGTGCGGCAGTGCAGTACACCGTAGGAAACTACACTCAACCAAAAAAGAAAGTCCCCCCTTAATACTTTTTCGTCTAACTCAAAAACTACTGGACACATCTTGCTCAAATTACGACAGATCAGTACAGAAATTCCTTAGCAATCCAGCCATACTCTTTGTTTGGCTCAAAACAGTGATAATGTGTACAAAATTATGCAATTTATGACAAATGGTACCGGAAAAAGTTGCACTTTTGTATACGTGCAAGGCGAGTGTGAACCACAACTTGCATGTATACAAAAGTGCAACTGTTTTCGGTATCATTTTGTCATAAATTGCATAAATTCGGTACGCATTATCACTGTTTTGGGCCAAATAAAGAGTATGGCTGGAATGCTAAGGAATTTCTGTACTGATTAGTCGTTATTTGAGCGAGAGGTGCTCAGTAGTTTTGAGTTAGACACAAAAGTATTGGAAGGGCGGCGGACTTTCTTTTTTTGGTTGAGTGTAGAAAGCACTCAGGTAGCGCAAACCTCCGCCAAGGCTAAACAATTCCCCGCCATGTTGTCAGTACATCCAAAAGAAATACTCGCATAAATGGTGAAGAATCCTTAAAACAAATCCTGGATCCAGAGGTGAGATACGAATCACTTCCAAAATCTAATCGATTTGTACTTGTACCAATTGGACCACCCCTAAAAGATTTTTCATGCAAATCAGTCCATAACTTTTCGACAACCAACCAACAAACTAGCCAAATCCGATGAAAACATAACCTCCTTGGCGGAGGTAACCAGTGCAAGGTGAAATACTGTGTTACTTTTGAAAATCTGTATTCAGATGTATTCTGTGCCCAAGAAATTGACCTTTTTTTCATTGACCTGCGAAACACCTATAAGTTTATTAGCTAATGTAAGAAAATGTAGGGTGTTGCATTCATCTCACAAAACACCTTGAAACTTGCTATGTACAGTGTACACGTCCTGATTATGTATAATGCATAGTTGGAAGATCCGTTTTCACAAAAAGTAGGAGTCCTATTTTCCTAACTTGATCTTAGTGTGTTGTGAAACTGGCTGCACATCTCTGTATTGGAATTTGCTAACATTACATCTAAAATGTTCTATAATTATGCATAGAATTTGAATCCCAAACCTTGTAGAATGGGAATTACTATTACCGTGGTAAAGATAATAAAAAAAAATCCAACAGAGTTAATCAACCCACAATGGGATGT